AAATTAAAAAGAAACTTAAGGGCATTAATATTCTAAAAATAAGCAATTATCATACATTTACCATTTGCTAAAATAATATACAATATTAATTAAGATAATATAATTAAATATGGTAATTTGAAACTAAATAATTACCATTACCATAATTAATATGTATAATATTAAATGAAGCAAATAAAATATGATAAATAAGGGAAAAATTAGAAAGTGGCATACTAGATTACCAGGAACCCGCACACTGCATTAGTTTTCCATGCCGACCTTTCTTCCTCAGCATAGCCAATCAAACAGTGCCGCCAACAGCAAGGGAACCAGTGCCGCCTGAAGGAGGGAAGAGGACAGTGACAACGCCGGAAACCAGCCTGCCTCCGGCATCTCTCCTCGCCGTGACACACCGCTGTTCGCCCCTGTTCGCGACACCTCCGCCGGCCGATGAACACAACAGCAGCACGGAGATGCAGAGCCTGATGAAGAAGAACAAGCAGCGACGTTGCCGGGAAAACCCAGCCTCGCCTCCATCGTCCCTCCTCTGTGCAACGCCAACAACCGCCGCCTGCAAGTCCATCTCGCACCGTCGTCATCGTCACCAGAAGAACCGGCGCAACAGTGATGGCTCGTCCGAAGGGAGAACAGCGAAATTTACCGCCATCACTCCAACCATCTCGTAGTAGCCGCCGGTGTCGACGGTCCCAAGTTTACCGGCGAAGCATATTACCGGAGTGACGTTGCCGGGATATCAGATTGCGTTTCAAATCAGGAATAAACCGAACATTAGTAAGAGTCCTGACAACGTTATCGTGAGTTTTAATCTGAACACTTCCAATTCCACTAACCTTGCATTGGGTATCATTACCCAGCAAGACAAATTCACCATCAACCGGTTCCAGAGAGACGAACCAGTCTTTGTGAGGACTCATGTGGAATGTACAACCAGAGTCCAGAATCCACTCGGTTTCGCTCCGTTTGCAACCGGAGCTAACAGATAACATAACATCGCCTTCTGAATCACTTTCAACAACACTAGCTTCAGCGGACTTCTTTTCTCTCTCTTGCTTGTTTTTCAACTTGAAGCATTCAGTCACATCATGACCATGCTTCTTGCAGTACTTACAGGATTTGTTGGACTTACGTCCATTGGATTTGGATCTAGAATTTTCTTTTGTTTAACGGGAGAACTAATGGAATTGGAAGTGGGGGGAATTTGGATTTGCTTCAACTCCATCTTGCTTTGCTTAGCTCCTTTTTACAAATCAGAATTATATATATTGATCTGATCTTTGGCAAATTGAACAACACAACTCAACAGGTTTGAATCTATATATGATAGATTACAATCAAATTTGTTGTGTTACGTTGTTGGATGGATGAATTTAATTTGGTATGTATCTCAAGAAAAGAAAACCTATATATTTATACAAGTCATATTTCTTTAATTTGGGTGTATAGTATGTACTTTCCTGGAAATGATAATTAAGCATTAAGCAGCACAGAGATGGAAATTAATTATTCGCATTGGTTCAACATACTTAGGCGGCTCACTTACTTGACTGCACTCCTTTCCTTTATTTAACAACACGTGTAAAATTCATCTTAATCTTATCTTATATTTAATATATATATTATTAGATTAGATATAACATATTTAGGCACACTTGCTTGACTGCACCCATTTTTTAGGCTTTACTTGTAGCAGCACCAGTTAAATTCACTATATTCAGCAGGTTGGATGTACAAGTGCCACACTACGGATAGTCCATTAAATATTCAATGCTGCTACGTCACCTCATACACCCACCACCCTGCTCTGTTAATATACAATTAATTCGTACCAATCATAATTTTAAGTTCAACTTAATTTCATTGCATTACAATATGCTTATTATTATTATTATTATTATTATTATTATTATTAGGGAAAATGACACTTTTTTCCCCTGAGTTATATACCTATAGCATTTTTTCTCCCTAAATTATTGAAGTGGCTGTTTTTCCCCCTGAAATGTTAAATGGACATATTTACCCTTAAATTAAATATTTAATTTATTTTTTTCTCCAACAAATTATGACCATAATTTGGTTCAAACTAAACAAACACTATTGCAACCAAAGCGAAATATTCCAATTACAATTTAGAATCGAAATTCGATATTTAAAGTTTATTAAAATCGTTAACCGGATCGGACAGTTCATGTTCTGAACTGATAAAATAAAATACATTTATTGTTGAATTTAGACTATTTTAAAATAAAAAATAAAATTTTAAAATAAAGACGGTTCAAAACCGCGAATCAGATCCGGAACCGCCGGTTCACGGTTCAAGATTCAATAATTTTTTTGATACATAATTTTAATAAATTGACATTTAAATATTGAGTTCTAGATCTGAATTATAACCGTAAACTATTAATTCGATTGCTTTAGTATCCGGTTCAATTCAAATCGAACCGTGGTCATCCCTACGTATACGCAATAATTTGTTGGAGTAGTAAAATAAATAAAATGTTTACTTTAAGGGTATAAATGTCAATTTAATATATCAGGGGGGAAAAAGCACCACTTTTAGAATAATTGAGGGGGCTAATGTGCTTACCTAAATAATTGAGGAGGAAAATTTGCTATAAGTATATAACTCAGGGGTAAAAAGTGCCATTTTCCCTTATTATTATTATTATTAAAATTTGTCAACCTTGAGGTCCAACCGTTCGAAACTTTAAAACACTAATACTTTGTGGTAAAATGTGACCAAGGCAAGGAGAGTCTTAGGTACACATCCCTAGCGATATTTTTTTTAAAACCTAGACGTTTGTGCATAATAAAAGATATGTTTAGCGCAAATTAAGAGATCTAACGGCTAGAAAGGCTGACATGCAAAATTACTTTTCAGAAAAACCGCAGGTCACTACCTGCTGGTCAATAGATGTTTGAAATTGCTTTCCCGCCAACGGATTCTTGTAAAAAATTCCTATAAGTACCTTCATTCAAAGAAACTTAAAAGAAAGTGTTGGTCTATTGAAGTAGAAATTACAAGTTATTCAAGTGTTTTCAACAAGTTCAAAGCAAGACCAGTGAGGGAGATTTAAAAAGCTATAAAGTTTTGCCCAAATTTAGAAGCTTGGGCTACTCAAACGTGAATTTTGGGCTGCTCAAACGTGAAGATAAAGTTCATCATTCAAAGTCAAGCTTTCTCGTTTGAAATTAAAGAATTATTTTCTTCAAACCATTGAATCTCTACTCGGTAGAAGTAGAAAGAGCCGGAGTAAACTCGTGTCTAGTTGAAACACCTGAGAAGTTCAAGGTTGGCTTAGTGTTCAAGGCTTGGACATTCCCTTTGTACTAAAGGATTAGTGCAAACCTTCTTAGGAGTTTTAAGGAGAAGAGCGGAGTAGGCTGGGGTTTAGCCGAACCTCTCCCTCTCTCTCTCTCTCTATCTATTTATCTATCTATCTATCTAAAAGGAGCCTCAAGGCTCCATAATTTCAATTGCAATGCCCATTCACTGGGCAAGCGGATGGGCATGCTACTTAATTTAGGAGTCTTTATATATATATATATATATATATATATATATATATATATATATATATATATATATATATATATATACACATACATATAATTTATTTTAATATAAATTTGTTGATAGATAAAAATCATAATTAATTAAAGGAATAAGGGTCAAATAGGCCATCGAACTGCACAGGATAATGCAATTAGGCCACTGAACCTAAAAAACCAACAATTAGGTCCTTAAACTAACCAATTTCAAACAATGCTTCTAATTTCAAGGTTTCCAACAGGTCAACAGGTCATCCTCTCAAATTAATTATTTAAAAAAAAAATAAATTTTTAAAAATAATTAATTTTAAATTTTGTTAAAAAAAAAAAAAAAAAAAAAAAAAACAGACTCCCGCCGGAGACAACCGTCTCCGGCCAGTCCTGTTTTATTTATTTATTTATTTAAATTTAAATAATTAATTTTCAAAGTTTATTTTTAAAAAATAATTAATTTGGAAAGATGACCTGTTGACCTGTTGAAAACCTTCAAATTGGAAGAATTGTTTAAATTTGGTTACTTTAAGGACCCAATTGTTGTTTTCTAAAAAAAAAAAAAGGACCCAATTGTTAGTTTTTTAGGTTCAGTGGCCTAATTGAATTATTGTGTGTAGTTGGATGGCCTATTTGACTCTTATTCCTTAATTAAATATATACATTTATACAATACATTATATTTATTAAATATAAATATTAAATAATATGCGAATGGTATTTTTGATATTTGTGATATTAAAGCTATTTCCAAGAGTATCGGAATAGCTAATACCAAGGCCCCCTAGGAATGACTACTCCCCTTGCAAAGGTAATAGCTCATTCCTAGGAATGTTATTCCCATGACAAAACCAAACAATGGAATAAGTCTATTCTAAAGAATGTTATTCCATTCCTGACCTATTCCATAAACAAATCCTGCCATTATAGTAATAGAGTAATAGAATATAGAACCAGGAACATATTAATACAGGTTATAGTAATTAATAAGAGTATTACAGTAATACAATATTAATGTGAACTACTTTTGAATAAGTCATGTCATGAATTGACTATAAATATATTTTATTATATTTCCCACATCCTACTCTGACTATACTACCCTCTTTGCCTCTTAGTTTTTAACTACTACGTAAACAGCTGACCATGTTTATTATTTCATTTAATATAATTTACAAAATTTATTAATAGAGGCAAAATTTATTGCTGTAGAAACCTTATGAATATACTTTATTATATTTCCCACATCCTACTCTCACTATACTATCCTCTTCGCCTCTTAGCTTCTATCTACTACGTAAATAGGTGGCCATGTTTATTATTTCATTTAATATAATTTACAAAATTTATTAATTAATAGAGGCAAAATTTATTGCTGCAGAAACCTTATAAATATACTTTATTATATTTCCCACATCCTAGTCTCACTATACTACCCTCTTCGCTTCTTAGTTTCTATCTACTATGTAAACAACCATGAATCCAGCAACAGCGTCATCCATGTTGGCTTTAGTCTTCTCCTTGGTTATTGTTGCAGGTGACCATGTTTATTATTTCATTTAATATAATTTACAAAATTTATTAATAGAGGCAAAAGGTATGTATTAAATTATATTTATATTGTAACATACAATTGTGACACACAATTGATTCAGGTGCTGAACCATTGGAGAAATCCTCATTCGATTTATCATTGATAGAAGAGTTAAAAGAAGTGCTAGTGCCAGTTGTGGAAACAAAAATAAAGTTCAGAGATATTGACGATGCCTTTGGGCGACGACCACTAGGTGTTGCCCCAAAGTGTATATTCTGCCGGTGTTGTAAGAAATCTGATCCAAATAGATGCTTTGCGAGGAAGTGTTGTGCCCATCTCAAATGCAATCTTATCTTTTGTAAATGGGTGCCCACTGCTTGCAATTGTGACGATTGCAAGACATAGATATGATTATATTTTACTTTAGAAGTATTTAGAAAGAATCTAATAAAAAATTTAAAACATTCATAGTAGAAAAAATGAGTATGTAATGGAGAACCTATCAATTTAAAGTTATTAGTTGTTACTCCTCTGCCTCTATCAAATCTTCTTCTTCTTTTTTCTTTTCCAAATTTTCTAAGAATTTTTTTAAAAGAAAATATGTTTTCGTTTTTACTGTTATGTTCAATAAAACTTTTAATATATGTAAAAGTATTGAGACAATTCATGTTAATAATTACATGGGTTAGAGGAGAGCAATTTATTCAATTATTTGGAGAGTGTTGTATAAGGTTATGCTCGTTGGCCGTTAGCTCCTAATCTATGAACTTTTGCAGGATAGATGTTGCTAACCTATGAACTTTTGCAGGATAGATGTAATGAGAAGAGTAAAGAAGAGAAAATAGACAATAGTGTTTTTTTTTTTTTTTTTTTTTTTTTTTTGAAAATAGAGAATAGTGTTGGTAATCAAGATTTCCATTAACCTCCAAACAATACAACATATGTAAGTATATTTACAACACAAATATAATGGATACAATAATATAATGTCATGCTTAACTACCGGACCGTTACGTCTGTTACAATAGAAATAATGTCCACATTAATATATTTATAACACTTCCCCTTGGACATTATTTGACCACGATCTTGTCTCGCTAAAAATTTGCTAGGAAAACCCTGTGGGAAAAACCTAAACAAGAAAAGAGTACAAGATATATGGATAGTATATTTAAATATATTCATGCCTCATTAAAAACTTCACTAGAAAAACCGTGTGGAAAAAACTTAGTTGAAGCAAAGAGTACATGATATATGTAATCATATATTGTATTGGTAGTCTCATTAAAATCCTTAACTTAAGAAAACCATGCAGGAAAAATATAGTTAAAGGGAAAAAAAAATACAACCACAAGCCTCCAGGACATAATCTTTAGGATTTTGGGATTTGTCTATTTAAGTATTCATTTGCAACTTTCACCCATTGACAATACTATATCATACTCATGCCTCGTTAAAAACCACACTAGAAAAACCCAGTGAGAAAAAATTAGTGAAGAAAAGAGTACATGGTATGTGTATGTTGCAAAAAGTACAACTATTAGTCTTTTAAGACCTAACTTATAGAATTGATTCGAGTAAATGTACTTCCCAACTCTCCTAAAGATAACAATCTTCACGTTCTATAAAATTATTGTTTCAAAAGACAATGTAGAGAGGAGATATAATACAATCTTCAAGATTGTCACTTTAGTTAATATTTTATACAATAATTTCGTGACTCTTCTAGAGCTTACGTGGGATGAAAATTTATATAACATGTATGATATTCCTTAAACACACACACTTATAATTTGTATATATAACACAGACTTTATTATCCTCACATAGGGCCTCAATACCAAGTGGTCTTATGAAAAACACATCATAAGTATATCGCATAAATTTATAAATCGAAGATACAGGATGATATTTTGAATATTATTCTAATATTTAATTGTAGGAGGAGCACTAGGGGTTGTCAGTAATTATATTGAAAGGACAATGTCAGTCCTGATGTGATCGTGGAATTTTTGATTTTATAATAGTGCTCCAATAGCAAAGAAGTAATGAACTTCTAGTTCCAAAATGTCCTCATTATCTTCTTTGAATCTAAATGGTCCTTTATCTACTTTAAGAGATTTATTGGACAACTGTTAGTGTGATAAGCCAATGATATTTTGTCCATAAAAATGCATCAAATATATTTTTCCAAAATAGACTAATTGGTGTATAAAATTCCTTTAAGGAAATACTCGATCTGCAGGTCAAGATAATACTTGATTTTCCAAGTCCTTTGTTTGCAAAATTCTTCTTTAGAACATAAGCTAATATCATTAAGTTCTTTATGATGTTCATAACAACAATATAGGGTGAGATAATAAATAATTCCATAAGTAGCCCTTTTAATAAGTACCTAATGGTACATATTCATTTTTACGTTTCCTACTCTAGGAGGAAAAATTACTTGGTCAATTGTTTTACTATTTCAAGTTTAAGTAAAGCGGCATTTGTACATCAACAACAAACATGTTGTGATAATTACTTTTCTTCATTTTTAGAATTATAAATCCATCAAGAATTTTTCAAATAAATATTACTGACTAACGGCCCATAATTTTAATGTCATAATTTTAATAAGCTACATATCTAAATTCATTATTATTCTGCCAATTATATAACGGAACTTTTAATAATATTCATTATGGGAGAGTTTCTGCGTGAACCATTGGGCTATAGACTCATTTTATATCACACCACCTCATCATTCTTGTTTCTCTTTCACACAAACACCATTTGTAACCTACAAGGTTAACACTTCAATGGTGTACAATATATATAGCGAGCTGAGCTATATATATGACTTAATTGTTCTTTTTATATGTTAATCAATCTAGGCACTTCTGGTACCTAGCTCTAGATCCATATTGTGATATAATATGAGCAATTTGAAGAAAACTAAGTTGTTGACAACTTATAACATTTCATAATTTTCTCCCATATATATATAAAAGTTCATGGTAATTTTCGAATTTAACCAAATTATAGTCATTTCCTAATGATATTTATACATGGTTGTTCCACAACCAGTATTATGATTATTTGGTGCACCTATAAATTTATTGGTTTTTCTTTACGTTTGGACGATCGTGTTAAAGATTTAATATTTTTCAAGAGCTCAAAGATTTTTCAAGAGTGACAACGATTCTTTACTAGATCTAGTTTTTGTGGATTCTTATCTTTTATACTGATATGTCTCCCAGACTCCGACACTTCTAGTGCTAAGGAGTATCGACAGATATATATGGCCCAATTTGGGTAATGTGTATGGGACCTAGTCACTCTTTTATGAAATAGATTTATTTGACATATATGTTTGATTTCTTTCTAAACTTCCAGTTCAGTCTAATTGGTACGTGGTATGTTTTGAAGATCATTTCATTCCATGAAATTTCTCGACATTCCATTTCGATTTGATCATATCTCCCCATAATGCCATGAATCGATCTTCAGTGCAACCAACGTATTCATTAATTCACTCTCAAGGGATCTAAATATTGAGACAACAGATGGAGATGTAGAGATACATAATGGTGGTAATATAATAGAATGGATTGCACACTTAAGGATAGAAGCACAGATTGGGAAATGTTTTTTTGTTTGAAACCACGCATTAGATGTAAGGGGATAAGGATATGCAGTGTGCCGGAGTTTTAGAATGTAATGTAGCAGCATGAATACTGCATTTCCCAAACAAGTATCCAGCATATTGCATTGTTTTGAAAAAATAATGGTTTAGTATATGATGATTCATCGTAATGCCTAATGCCATATTACAATCGTTAAAAGGTGACGAGTTTAATTCACCAGCGTTTATCCCCATCCTTGTATGTTTAATAGAATAATCGGGGAATCGGGCATTTAATTAAATACCGTTGCTCATAAATTTAGCAAGTGTTTTGTTCATAATTGACATCATCTTCACATGTGTCCACATGGTGGAAATCATTGGATCGAATATCTTCAAAAAAAAAAAAAAAACTTAGCAAAGTTTGGTATTGAGGGTACAAAAGAGCATTCTCAATTAGTAATTTAGTAGCTATAGGGTACAAAAGGCTCTTCCGGAGCTCACAATAGAATCCTTATAATAGGCCATGCCTATCTGCCAGGATAGTATACATGGTAGCACTATTTGTTAGGAGTTATGCATCAATACAACGCATATAGGAGGAATAAGCCATATTGCATTCATAAAGAGAAAATATAATATATGGCTCGAAGAAGGATTAGATGGCTTACCCGTCCACATTTCCATTGGCGTTTTCAGATCAATTGCGGTTGATGGTGACCGATTGATCACATAATAGGTGGTTTTGACTGCTTCAGCCCAAAATGAATTTGCCAAATTTGAAGTCCTCAACATTGCCCTTGTTCTTTCCAACAAGGTTCTGTTCATCCGCTCTGCCACTCCATTTTGTTGTGGAGTATACGCCACCGTGAACTGTCGTTTGATACCTTCTTGCAAATAGAATTTATCAAACTCATTACTAGTGTATTCTCCTCCATTGTCCGACCTCAAACACTTGATCCGTTTCTCGGATTCAAGTTCCACACGCGCTTTGAAGAATTCGAAAACTTCAAATACATTCGCCTTCCGCTTGATGATTGGATACACCCAACATCTCCTTGAGTGGTCGCCGATGAAGGATACAAAATATTTTGCACCTCCCAAGGATATAACTGGTGCTTGCCAAACGTCGGAGTGGATTAAGTCCAAGATAGCCTTGCTCCTTGCTTTAGAGCTCTCAAACTTCAATCTGTGCTGCTTACTTGTAACACAATGCTCACAAAAAGGTAATGAAACCTTTGTTAGCCCCGGAAGAAGATGTTGATCAACAAGAATCTTTAGACCTCGTTCCGACATGTGGCCAAGTTTTTGATGCCACATCATCGTTGATTCCTCCATAAGATTGTCTGCTGCAACGGCTGCTTCTCCTTGTAGTTGTGTTTCTCCTTTAAGCATGTATAGATTGTCTGCTATCTTCTCAGCTTTCATCACAACAAATGCGCCCTTGATTACTTTGATGATCACATCCTGAATGTGAATTTTACATTCACGGCTATCTAATTGTCCTAGAGATAATAGATTTTTTCTTCAGGCCCTTCACGTGTCGTACCTCTTGGATAGTGCGAATCGTACCATCAAACATTTTTAGTTTAATAGTACCAATACCAGCAATCTCTAAGGCATAGTCATCTCCCATAAACACAGATCCTCCAGAGACAGGTTCATATTCATGAAACCATTCTTTCCATGAGGTCATATGCCATGTTGCTCCTGTGTCCATAAGCCAGACATCAGGTAGACTTTTCCTGCCTTCAACAATCGTTGCTGCTTCACCAAATAAAACTCCGCATTCATCCGATGTAGTCACAACACATCCCTGAGCATTTGATGTCTCGGGATTTTTGCCTTTGGTCTCATCCTTCTTGAGTTGCCAACACTCACTCTTGTAGTGCCCCTTTTTGCCACAGTGAAAACACTTGGCATTCTTCTTACCCCTTGACTTTGATCTACCTCGGTTGTGACTCCCATTAGAGCCAGGCTCCATTGATCTTCCTCTCATCACTGTCAACGCCTGATATTGTTGTGAAATTCCAACTTTGTCTTCTTTGTTTTTGCGCCGACTTTCCTCTTCAAGAACCGTAGCTGCAACATCATCGAACACAAGTACCTCCTTGTTGTTGACTAAATTGATAATGAGTTGATCATATGAATCCGGTAGACTTTGGAGTAAGATTTCAGCACGTTCATTCACTTCTATTTTATAACTCAAAGCCGAGAGTTGTGAAAATAGAGTGTTTAAGTGTTGATGTGCTCAGTTATTGAGGATGTCTCCATCATCCTAAGAGTGTATAATTTCCTCTTCAAGAAGATCTTGTTGTGCAGTGATTTGGCCTCATACAAATTTACAAGAGTATCCCATACCTCTTTTGTCGTACCTTTTTTCGCCACACTTGACAAAACTTCATCAGCAAGTGCTAAGTGCAAATTGGTAATAACGTTAATATCCATTTCTGTCCACTTCGCATCGTCAGTGAAATCGGCTGGTCTTTCTTCAATTGCTGCTATGCAGTTATCTTTCCTGAGAACTGCTTTCATTCTCATTTTCCACAAAGAGAAATTGTTCCCTCTAAACTTTTCAATCTCGTACTTGGCCGCCATTGTAAGTGGTGTTCTTGATTCAATCCTGAACAGTATATCTAAATAGTATTGTATAATATAATAATACCGGCCTTGTGAATTTACCAGTACTTATTCTAAGATAACCAATACAAAAAAATATATCTATGAACCAACCTGAGGCTCTGATACCACTTGTTAGGATCGAAACGGGTTCACAACACCAAATTTACAATAGCAACTTGAACTGGAAATATTGAGAATAAATTCTAGTGTAAGATTTAAAATAAATCATACACAGAGCAAGGCAAATTGAAGAAGAATTTTTTTGTATTGGCAAAAGGATAATACAATAGGAATTACAAATATAACTCTCTATTTCTCTCTACAAAAATTTTGTTATACTCTTTGTATATTTCGAAGGAGATGGGATATGATGAGATAATCTGATGAACGAAGGATGTTGCCTTATTTATAGCAATCCATGTGTCTAGAATTTTCCAAGCTAGACCCATGTGCCTAGAATGCTATTATTCTTCTCCTGCAAGAAAAAGAACAACACCCCAACTTAAGCGCATGCTTTTCCCTTAGGCAAACCTCCTCCCAAGTCCCTTAAGAAAACCTCCTCCCAAATTCCTTTAGGAAATCTCCTCCCAAAATCATCTCAGGCAAAACTTCTGCCCATTCCAAATTCTGACTTTAATATTTACAGAAAATATGTTTGAACAGATACTACAATGTAATATAAGTTAGTAGCATTAAAAAAAAATCAAAATCAATATAAGAAAAGTATAAGAAGATGAGTGGAAAGATCATTATCAATATGAGCCAAAAAAAAAATCAATATAAGAAAAGTAAAAGGAAAATGAGTGGAAAGATCATTATCAATATAAGAAAAGTAAAAGGTAGATGAGTGGAACGATCATTGGTCAACGAAACACTGATAAAAATTGCAACCTAGTAGGGCTGGTTAGTACGCTCTAGTTCAGTCATGCGATTCATAAATGAAGAGTCCTAAATAATTTTTTGTGCTCAATTTAATTTTTTATTTTGATGGTTTACACAATTTAATTCTTTGTTAAAAATTATGTTAATTGACTATTAAAAATAGAGTCATAATGGTAGTTTCTTATCTTTAATCTCATTTGGGGTGATTTCTTCTCCATCCCCTTATTAAGACCCATGAAGAAATGTAAATCTTCGCACTTAAATCAATTTCAACTCTAAATAAATAAATACAGAGTAAATAAATATTTGGGTACGAAGATTTACATTTCTGCGTAAATCTTAATAAGGGGAAGAAGAATGAATCATCCCAAATGGGACGAATAATGAGAAATTACAATTATGACCATATTTCTAACAGTCAACTAACATAATTTTTAACAAAGAATTAAATTATGTAAAACCATCAAAGTCGAGAACTAAATTGAACAAAAAAAATCATTTAAAACTAAATTGAGTAAAACCACTATAGTCCAGGACTATATTGGTATTAACTTCATAAATGAATATATCCAACTTTATACCAAAGACTCAAAGTCATCTATACAAAAAACACAAGGATGTGTATGAAAACGCCAATTTTGGTTTGGAGCATATTTCATTATCTGACAATTCACCATTCCACAATATTGATTAAGAAACTTCCTATGCATTTTCCCAAGTCACTATCTTCATCTCTTTTCCCAGCCATTAGTTCAAGACTTGTACAGTTTCCTTAGCTTTTCTCTGAATCTGTTATCTCCATCCGTTGATTCTAAACTTCTTTGTTTTCCTTATTCTTCTCTCCCACATAAGTTGCTGCCATACCAAACAGAAGTTAAGTTTGGTGAGGTATATTTCCACAAAGATTTTGGTTTTTAGCATACGGGTGTCTGGAAAAATTGTTAAAGATGAAAATTTCCCTGCTTTCATGGATTCCCTTGATATGCTTGTTGCAAATAATATTGGGGATAGATATCATTTTTATATCCGGGCAATGCCAGAATGATCAAATATCACAGTTGCTGCAGTTGAGGACTAGCCTAAAGTTCGAGTCGGGGGCTCCAACCAACAAACTTGCAACCTGGAACCAGAGCACAGATTGTTGCCACTGGCATGGGGTGAAATGTGACAACTCAAGTCGTGTGATCAGTTTGAGTCTCGACAATGAAACAATTGTCAGCATTGACAATTCAAGCAGCCTTTTCAGTCTTCCGTATATTGAGGAGCTGAATATGGGTTTCAACTCTTTCAACTCTTCTCCGATTCCTGTTCAGATGTATAATCTTGCAAACTTGAGGTACCTGAATTTATCAAATGCTGGTTTCGGTGGGCAGATTCGAAGTTCAATCGGGGCTCTTAGTTCTCTTGTTCTTCTCAACCTTTCACACAATGCTCTAACAGGAAAAATCCCTAGAGAATTTGGAAATTTGACACTGCTTGAATCTCTAGACCTGTCAGCTAACCAGTTTAGTGGCGAAATCCCAGTGCAGCTCACAGAACTCTCGTTTCTTTCGTTCTTGAATCTATCCGTAAATGAGTTCTCTGGCAAGATTCCAACTGGCAAGCAGTTTCAAACTTTTTCAGAAGATTCGTTTCGAGATAATCCTCAACTTTGCGGGTTACCATTGAACAGAACTTGCACACCATCGGTGCCTACTCCTCATAGCTTAGGTTCATCTGAGGTAAGATGGGAGTTTGTAACTGCTAGTTTGGGTTTTGTTGTGGGTTTATCCGCACTTCTCTGACTTCTGCTGCATAACAAAATATGCAAAGAAATGTTCTTCTAAGGCTTTTTCGTCACTGACATCAAAGAAAAGTATTTCCAGGACGCAGGGAACAAATGCTGCAGACAAAAGCTCCAGTTTCAGAAACAATTTCAATTTTAATTTGTATAAGCATATAAAAAAAAAGGCAATAAGGTGTGTTTTCTTTCTATTTTTCATACTACTCCCAAAGCTTGTGTTAAAATGAAACATCTGTCAAGTTTAGTAATAACTTGTTATACAAAATATTCGGTGCATCTAAAGTTAAAATTCTTGAGAGGTGCTTGTATTATACAATTTCATTTTCTATTAAATTGAAGTTTTAGATGATATAGGCGTTTTTAAATTGTAAAGTCTTTTATCCTCTTGTATGTTGGTTTGGAAAAAGAGTTATTGAGCTAAATCTAGAAAATTTTATTGGTAAGTGGGTTTGCACCACTATTTATACAAGAGCCTTTCTAAAGCATATTGGCCCTGTTTGGTAAAATGGCTGTTAGCTAATAACTGTTAGTTATTAGCTTATTGTGTTATTAGAGGGTATAAATAGTTGATAACATTAGCTGATTGTAAAAAAGTGTTTAGCTGTTTGGTATAATTTCTTTTCTCAAAAAGCTAATTAAAAAAGTTGCTTGGAGTAGCTTTTTGAATTTTAACCTTTTGGAGTTGCAAAAAGCTAATTAACCAAACATTTATATTGATATTTTAACTAAATCAAACCATTAATAGTGGTTAAATAAGCCAAAATTGGCCTATAGGCCAATTTTTTACCAAACAGGGTCATTGACTTGTATAGCATAGAAGCTTTCTTTTGCGCATACGGGGTGCAAATCAAATCTCAAAGTTAGCCTGAAAATGCTTGACTTATGTACGTCAGCACTTCTAAGCGCAAGTTTTAAGGAAAGAGTGTTTCGCTCGGCTCGTACTAGCCGCCTACCCTCAACATCTTTCCGTCCTTGTGCTTGGAGGCTCCTCTCCGATCCTTCCCGTCTTATCTTATAATTTTTCAAGATTATAAATTCCATTATTTGATATATGTATATATATAAATAAATAAATAACTAAATAAATAAATAAATATATATATATATATATATATATATATATATATATATATATATATATACATATATATATATATATATATATAGGCTCTGGATCCAATGAGCTTCCTTGATATATGAGATCATGAGACCGCATCTCATCCATTAATCAATTTACAATGGATGGGTAGGATTGAAAGTCAAAAACTAATTAATTAAGGACAAATTCTAATAAGAAGAGTGAAAGAGTAATTATATGATGGTGATCAATTTTGGTGATAATTTAAATAGCATCTTTACCATAATATTAGGGAGCCTATCAATGGTAATAATTAGGTATACTTTAATTTGTATTCTGGTATTTACGTGCAAATAAGATACAGTATTCTACAATCCTACAGAGCTTGCAAATGGTGCCTAAAAACACAGGTATGTACATTTGTAAATTTGATGTAAGTTAATGTTGCGTTGGTGTGTGCAAATTTCTGGTAATGGAACTTTGCATCATCCTTTTTTTTTTTTTAAACTTTAGTTCGATGGTGGTTGCGCACTTATGTAGGTAGGCGTGTGCAAATTCTAAGAGTGCTTTGATGGGTTGTGCGGTGTGTCGCAGAGTGCGTAAATGGTTATATGTTTTTATTTTTTGGTGTGTGTGTTACTTCTCACGGGCGTGTGCAAAGGTAACCTTTACAACACTGAGCATGCATTTTTTGCTTAGGCGTTTGCATTTCGAGTGGATAATAAGTGCATAGTAGCTATAGTGTTGTGTTTTCTGTTTTTTTTTTTTTTTTTATATATTTTTAATTTCCTACGTTGGTGTGTGCACACCTTCATTCGAGCGTGTGCTTGTTTCCGAATTTTCCCATGTGCTAGTTTATTGGTATTAAGTAACTAACTATATGATTCTGATTTTTTGTATAGGCGTTTGTATTTCGAGTGGATATCAAGTGCATAGAAGTTACAGTAGTTTGGTTGTCGTTTTTTTATGTTTTTATTTTTAATTTCCTACGTTGGTGTGTAAGCTACTTCATTAGGTTGGGTGCATATTGTGCTTTTTCTTTTGTGCTAGTTTATTGGTATTACGTAACCAACAAAAAACAACTATATGAATCTGATTTTTGTATAGGCATTTGCATTTTGAGTGAATAGTAAGTGCATAGAAGCTATTGTATTTTGCTTGTAGTTTTTGTTTTTTGTTTTTAATTTCCTATGTTGGTGTGTGCGTTACTTCCTTCGGGCATGTGCATATTGTTTTTTTTCTCTTGTGCTAGACTTGTAACCCCAACTCTTCGGGACCAACAAGTGGTATCAGAGCAGTTACCTTTACAATAAACACTCTGTGTATACTCCCCGGTGATCTCTTTTCAAGCCAAAAATCATTTTAGTTGCAGGAAAAAAAAAATTCAGTATAAAATGGATCATCATATGTCCAAGAATTTCATGTTTAACTTAAATAAATTTGACAATTGGAAGGTGCACAAGAAGGCACACCTATCAGCCATACATGACGATATGTGGGAGGTCATGACCGAGGGGTCAATCCAAATTATGATGGTAAATGTGAATGCTGTTGCCCAGGGACCAAATGCTCCAGAATATGTTCCAAAGCCTAGACATGCATGGACATCCGAGAAACAACCTAGACAATATAGCAAAGGATATATTGTTTTAAAAGTTGATGAAACTCTCTTCTTGAGGATAAGGAAATTTAAGTCGGGTAAGGAGATTTGGAACATTCTCATGCAGATTGGAGAAAGAGATGAGTAGGAGAAAGAAAACAAAATCACCATAGCCATGAAGAAATTTGAGGATTTCTGAATGGTTAGTGGCAAAACCATAGCCGAGATAGAGACTCGATTCATGAAGTTGTTGAGCGAGATAGTTGACCTTGGGAAGGAGTTATCTCAAAAGGAGATAAATTTGAAGATTCTCTGTGGACTACCTAAGTCATGGGAGATGAAGGTCATTGCCATGAGGGATCATCGCGATCTGATAACTGTGTTTATGTCCATGATTTTACCCCATATATATAGACCTATTTTGAGTGAAAGATACTTTGGTTTTATGCAAAATGTGCCTTAATTCATTTGTTTATATCCTTAGGTGCATAAATTGTTGATTTGAAGACAATAGTATGCTTTTCAGGGCATTTTGAGTGAATCTTGAGTCAATGGGAGTCAAGGTGAAGCTAAGGAGGTGGCTAATATGCTCCAAAGAGAGCCAAAGAGTGGTACTTTCAATGGATTTGATCACAAGAACAAAACAAGGAAAAAGTGGAGCAAAAGACCAAAGAGTTGTAATTCCTGCTAAATTTGGTGACACTTAAATATTTTGATCATATCTCATTCTAGGAATGTTCGATTCAGGTGATTCTTGCACCATTAGAAAGAAGACTCGAAGGGCTACAACCTGTGATGTAGCATAAAAACCGACACGTCGAAAATTTCTAGTAAGTTAGGCGAAGAAACAAGACAAAACTCGACACGTCAAAAACGCGTCCTGTGCGAATTTTGGGCTGTCCAGAAGTTCCTATTTTTCCCCAACTTGGCTCCCACTATAAAAGGCCCATCTTCCCTCAACCCTAGGACATTAAGCTGCATTTTTTTTTAATGTAATTTTGCATATTCTCTTAATTGAAGATATTCGATTTACTTTCTTGCCAACTGTATAGAGGACTGATTGACTCATACGTATGATTAGGCAACCAATCAGATAGATAAACAGATATAGCATAAGGCAGAACACTAAAGCATAAAGTAAATCAACACATAGGTTTGTTTACCCAGTTCAATACAGTGTGTATCTACATATGGGGGACGATCACCAATGCGTCCAATCCACTAACTCAGAATCCAATGTACAAAGGTAGAGAAAAATGATCTCACCCAAGTGCCCCACACAAGGTATGTACCCAGTCTACAAAGGTTTAGTGGATTGTTGAAGTCGGAAAGTTGTGCATCCAGAAGTTCAATGAAATCCCTTCAATGGAGAACTAACTTGATGCAGTCCGCTTCACTGACGCGGTCCTACGTTGTTCGCACAACTGAGTGATCTTCATGTCCACAAGTTAAGCGTAGTTGATACTTCTCAAGTTCATATTCGTAATCACCATGAACTCTAGGTTCTGAGAAGAGACATAAAAACCAGAGATGTGTATCTTTTAGTATTGAGAGTTGCGACTTCAATCAACGCAACCTTAACTTCTGAAAATATATGTGTATATATACTTCTTGACTTGGCCTCTCTCCATATAGAACTCTGATTGTAAAAGGTATGACTTGTAAAAGAATAATCTTGAATCTTTAAGGAGATTTCGCCCATACCTAAGGAGATGATCCGCTGATATTCTTGTGATCTTCACGTCTACAATCTATAAATCTAATAAGATCCAATAAAGTTAGGTCCCTAATGGAACTAAAAAATGTTGGTGTAATAGTTTGTTGAAATGAATAGTTCATATTATTTTGATTCTAGTATTTTTTTTTACATAATTTTCTTTTTAGCTTCTATTATATTATTTTCTTCCCTTAAGTAATTCGATTTCCGTTAGTATAAACTTTAGTAACGGAATATTTCGTTAACTATTTATTATTCTAAACTTACTCATTAATTTATATAAGAAAGGACTTAGGTTCGAACGCCATCCCAATTCAATCAGAGTTGGCATAATTGTTAAACATATACTACGTATATTTAAAAATATATTTAAAAAATACAATATAAAATTTAACATAAACTTTGGTCAAATAATTAGCCCGACTAAATACATAGTATTCAAAGTTAAGCATCAAAGATTATAAATCAGGAACCTTGAAAATCATTTTCTTCCATGTTTTTAAAAAACAAATTTACGTTAATTTTTTTTCTTTTTCTTTCGTTTAAGTAATCTTCTTTTGATTATTTAGAACACAAGACTCTATATTTTAATTATGTTTTTGCATTGTTGGAATGATTTAGGTCATTATGGTATTAATATTTTTTGTATGTATTTATATAATGGTATAATTGTGAATTACTTTACAAATATTGTAATATTATTTTTTTTTTAGACAAAATTGTTCTTATTGTCAGACATGTGCGACCTAACTACAAAGTTATTAATCAGAAATACAACTACATCTGGACTCTAAACGATAGGACCATTGCCTAAAGAATGGACAATGTTGACATTCCACTGGCTTCAAGTAAACAAGTTTACACATCATTTTCAGAATTTTATCAATGCATGAAAAAACTTCT